CCTTCAATGTTTCAAAAATATTTGCCTTTTTACTGTTCTGACTTCTAACAACTTATAAAAGCAACCTCAAATAAGCCAGTGCCTAGCAGGGTTACCCGCATCGTCTTTTACAACCATTCCAAAGGCCTCAGATAAATAAAATCTGACATTTGACATTTAAAACACCACAGAGGATAATTCCACTTTTAAATAAGAAAGATTTCAATCAACTATCACAGAAAGGGTGGGAATAGAAGGGTTTCTTCCTCAGTCCCTCTGCCTGAGTGAGTGCTTACAGAGGGTTCCTGGTTCCCAAGGCAAGATTAGTGACACTAGGAGTTGCGACAAACTCGGCCCTTTTCCCTGTAACCCCCAGGAAGCCAGGCGGCCAGGCCCTGTTCCCCTCTGCAAGCACACCAGCCCTGCCACCTCTAGCTGCCAACCCTTTCCCTGAGCAGCTTCAACTGTGCCCACCAGGAATGCCGCTTGCCTTAAAGGAATGGTTCTGGGAACCAAAATATTTAAGACCAAAACCAGATGCTGTCCCGCTACACCCTAGCATCAGCAGCTTCCAGTTGGGCCTTCTGGAATCAGAGCAGTTAAAGTATACAGGCCTAGAGCCATCCCCACAAAGCCAAACATAAAATATCATCACAAATACGACAGAAGCATCTATTCCTTCTCTGGCAGCTGCAAAGCACCACTGTGAATTGCAAGAGCCACTGTGGAGTGAGAGAAAAAGAGAGGGAACCAAGACTAAGCAGGACAAGTGAAAAAAACGAAGATTGTGTAAAAATGATTTGAATTTTAAACTATAGCTCCAATTCGAAAGGGAGTTGCTAATTAGTCCCATTGACCTGAACAGACTGGATAAGGCTGTAAACAGCCCAAGGGACAGAGATTTCTATGCAAGGCCTTGGCCACTAAAGTCTGTTTTCAGATAATGTGCATATATTTGCAATGGTAAACACTGCATATATTTGCAATGGCAAGTGCTTTGTTTTTTTCCAGTTATCTTGCAGTAAATAAACTAAAGCCTCTACACAGCTATAGAAGAGATCTTTCAAATATCCATATCATTCTTAATTACTCAGGGAAGCAGGAAAAGCCTGCAGCATAGTCACCTTTGCTTTACTCAGGATTGGCCAATGCGCAGAAAACACAATTTCTGGTTTTACTGTGTTTACAAACTGTGATCAATACCTGTGGAATTTACAGCTTGCATCTGCTCACCAGTATAAACCTTGATAAAAGATAGAAATCAGATGTGCAGCTTTGGGACACAAACAGTAAAAGGGAATATATTTATGCAAGCAAATAAGTGTCTCTGGGGATGCCCACCTCCCATCCTTTTATTTCCAACCCATTTCACACAATCCATTCCTGTCATTCCATCTGAAAAGGACTGTGTTTTTTGTTTTTTTTTTTTTAATCTCGGTGCTTACATTTGTGTTCCAACTACCATCGCAGTCTTCAGTTCAATACACCCATTTATTCACTTCCTACTAACAACAACCCAAGCAGGCTTTTTCCTCCCCTTTTTTGCTTTAAATTGTGAATGAGATTAGTCATGATGAAAATGAAGAATGAATATTGGCATAAGCCAAGTGTAATACTGGCAGGAATCAGAAAAACTTTTCCATAGGAATGTGCCAGCCATTATTAGGAAAAAGTTGACATATTTAAGCAGCAGAAAAGATTGGCCCAGCAAAATAATTTAATATGATCACCAGCACCAAGAACAAAAGCTTCCTATAGCGTAATATGTGGATTTTATACACGGAAGACATCCTTGCAATGAAGCATTGCTCTTTATACTCCTCAGTAACTTACTGTGAATTCTTTAAATATAACCAAATGGAAAAACAAACATAGTAACCATGTTTCTAATCTATGGAAGGTATTTACACAGTTCCCATTAACAAAGGATCAAAATTCCCTATTTTTTTAATTGTATCATTATATAATGTATTTTTAATGTCCATAAGTAGGGGAGCTCCCTCACTTTCTCCATCTTAAACATAGGAAAATGAGGCACACACCAAATAAACGAGGTTCCCAAGGCTACACGTAGCATACTGTAGAATAAGGAAGAGTCTTTCTCTTCCTATTTAGTGCTTTGATCTCAATTCAATCATTTCTCTTACGTATTCAGACAAGGATACATTTTCTTTGGCATATCTATACGTCTTACTGGAAGAGATATAGAGCACAGTAATTATTAAACTGTTTCCAAATGTATCTATATACATGCAGAACAAAGGGAAGCAGAATGAAAACTCTGCATGGAAATTCAGGATTCTTTTCCATGATATATTTTTGTTTAAGTTGGTCCAGCAACTGCCTATTTTTATGAGGCATATCAGCGTATAAAGCAGTGTACATGCATCTCTTAAAATACCCCAAAGACCTGAAATATCAATTTCTTTCAGTTGTGGAGAGAGGTTCAAGTGAAAAAAAACTTCATCTTGTTACAAGTTAATGTGTGAACCTATGTGAATAGGAATAGTTTGAAGTTTGGGTAAAGAAAGAAAAGTAGCCAGTTTTTATCCCACACCTCCACAAACAACTGCATGTTTCTCTTCAAAACATGAAACGAGCAATAAAGAAGACTTAAAAGATTCACTTATTAAGAGAATTCTATGGAGGCAAGCAACACCAATCCTTCGTCTTGAGAGCGACGCACTGCAAAATCCAGCAACTAAGTCCTCTTTCTCTATGAGAGATCTCCAAAATGGCTATCACTTACATTTTTTCCCCCCTCAGGGGAGGAAAAAAAGGGAGTGGGAGGCAGGAAATGAGTCAAACACTCAATTCAAGGGGGAAAAAAAAACATTAAAACAGGACATCAGTCATTGCTAACAGGCATGGCTCCACTGAAGTCACTAGATCAGAGTTACTGTCAATGAGAAATCTAGACCCTTTATTCTTTCTTCCTCCACAGAAGTGCGACCTTCTTTGTGAGTGTGAATCTTTTGAAAGGCCAAGCTCTTAAGAAAACAAAAGTGTGTGAGGGTAGACATTATAAACTAGATTTCTCAATGACTGCTTCAAAATACAGCACATTTAAGTGCAATACACACATACGCAAAAGATATTGTAAACACATGACAGAATTGTGAAGATGAAGCTTGTAGGTAACCAGGCACAAAAATCAAATTGGTAAGCAGAGATGAAGAATTGAAGATTATAGTATAGAAAACATCACATATATATACACACAAACACATATGAGAATATACTTTTATCTAGACAAACTATACATCTGTGGGTGTCTGATTTACCTCTGAAAATCTTCTCTTAAGAGCTTGTATCACTAACTTTTGCCCTTCTTAAATAGAAGCAAAACAAACAGATGAGGCAGGGGAGCACAAAGATGAGCTAATCACTTGAAACACAAAGAACATCCCAGCCTTACCTAAATGCTGCCCAAGTGGGCAGTTCTCCTGTCTACAACAGTCCCACAATCTCTGAAAACAGGTATGTTGTGACAAATTAACATAAATGGGTGCAGTCACATGGAGATAACTAAGGATCTCTAGACAGAAAATTCCAACTCCTAAAAGTACTAGTTCAAAGCAAATTGAAAGTTGCATGGGATGGTCCAAGCTTCCTGAATATACTCAGCATACTAACAATCAATGTATTTAGTATATTCCTTAATATTAGTATACTTGTTAAAAACCTAAGCCAACAAATACATCAAACCACTAGAGGGCAGCAAATGAAAGACTGATATTTCTGTACTTTTCGGGAAAAAACAGCCAAACAGCATCTCACAAGGATTAAAAGTCAAGGTTTCTGTGTCCAAGTGAAAAGAAGCTAAACTTACGGATGGAATTGCCTGCCAAAACTTTTTCTACTAATAAAGAAAATGAACACTGACATAAAAAGTCCATCAGATCACGCCGTCTGCTTCTACAGGTCTTCGTTCTCATTGATCAGTTTCAATCTTATTAACAGCATATATGTATTCCAGCTAAACTCCTGACATTTACCATGCCCTTTCCAGATTGACAGCATGACAGACCTTCACGTACACAAATACACACTATCCTGACTGAAATAAAGCTGTTCAGTCAGATATTTCGTCTTCCCATCTATTTCCTTATGTTAGAGACGAGATAAGATGCCTCCAAGTCTCACCGATACAGCTGTGCCAGTGGAGCACTACAGCTAAGCTACTAACACTGTCACACTGTCATGGCTATTTTGCTTCTGAGACTGGATCTATTACACACAGGGAACAAGGTGCAAAATTAAAGATGGAGGATATGGTCAGCATCTCCTCTCTTATCCAGCCAGGAAAGAAAGATTAATTTGTTATCAAAGTTAATTGTCTTTATGCCAGCAAGTAATTCAATATGAAATATCTGGTTTGACTTATCTCCTCTGATAGCTTTCAGTAATTTTCTAGATTTGCTACAATTTCCATACTGTTTAAAGAACACACAAAAAAACCTTTTTCAGAGAGCACGCCATCTCTTTCTCACACCTCTATTCTTTTAATGAATATACAGCATTAAAATAGAAATGTAAATGACCCAAGGGAACAGCTACCTTCACTATCACATTCTCTGCATTGCAAGTAGAAGTTTGTCCAGGTGGGGATTTCCATGGAGCAGAGGACTATTATACAGCTTGTGGCTTGTATAAAAGGCAGCTAAAAGACATGAACATATATACATATATTCGTATAATAGAATACATACATATGTGTGTGTATATATATATATATATATAAAATTTCTTTTAATCAGCTAAATAAACACAAATTCTTAGACACTGCAGTTGTAAATATCATGTGCAAGCTCTTCTACTGTTAAAAAAGTACATACGATACAAAAAAATGGTTGTAGGGTTTAACTGTGTAGAGTAACATAATCAAAGAAAATTCATATGAAAATTGTTTTACATTAAAATGTACCAAGACATTTGCAGTATCCCACTTAGCAAGCAGAACCCTGACATATTTACAGAACAATATGAGTCTCCTGGTGCCTGGGGTTATTCCTCCCCAGGTGCAGGACCCTGCACTTGCCTATGTTGAACTTCAGGAGGTTCCTCTCTGCCCATCTCTCCAGTCTGTTGAGATCCCTCTGAACTGCACCACAGCTCTCTGGTGTATCAGCCACTCCTCCCCATTTTGTATCATCAGCAAACTTGCTGAGGAGGCATTCTGTCCCTTCATCCAGGTCACTGACAAGTAAGTTAAACAATACTGGACCCAGTATTGACCCCTGGGGGATACCGCTAGCTACAGGCCTCTAACTAAACTTTGGGGTCCTGATTACAACCCTCTGAGCTCTGCTATCCAGCCAGTTCTCAGTCCACCTCACTGTCCACTCATCTAGTCCGCACTTCTTGAGCTTGCCTATGAGGATGTTACGGGAGATAGTGTCAAAAGCCTTCCTGAAGTCCAGGTAGACAACATCCACTGCTCTCCCCTCATCTCCCCAGCCAGTCACTCCCTCAGAAAATATCAGACTGGTTAAGCGTGATTTCCCCTTTGTGAATCCATGCTGACTACTACTGATCTCCTTCTTGTCCTCCACATGCTTAAAGTTGGCATCCAGGATGAGCTGCTCCATCACTCTTCCAGCGATTATCCCCAGCCAGTCACTCCCTCAGAAAATATCAGACTGGTTAAGCGTGATTTCCCCTTTGTGAATCCATGCTGACTACTACTGATCTCCTTCTTGTCCTCCACATGCTTAAAGTTGGCATCCAGGATGAGCTGCTCCATCACTCTTCCAGCGATTAAGATGAGGCTGACAGGCCTGTAGTTCCCTGGCTCCTCCTCCTTGCCCTTTTTGAAGACTAGAGTGACACTGGCTTCCTTCCAGTCCTCAGGCACCTCTCCTGTTCTCCATGTCCTTTCAAAGATGATTGAGTGGCCTTGCAGTGAGGTCCGCCTGTTCTCTCAGCACTCATGGGTGTCAAGTTTGCCTAAACCATCTCTAACTCAATCCTCTACCAGCAAGGGAAAGTCTTCCTTTCTCCAGTCTTTCTCCCTGGTCCCCAGGGTCCGGGATTCCTAAGGGCTGGCCTTAGCAGTAAAGGCTGAAGCAAAGAAGGCATTCAGCAACTCTGCCTTCTCTGTATCCTTCATCACCAGGGCCCCTTCCCCACAGGGTAGCAGGCCTACATTTTTTCTAATCCTCCTTTTGTTACTGATGTATTTGAAGAAGCCCTTCTTGTTGACCTTGACATCCCTTGCCAGATTTAATTCCAAATGGGCTTTGGCCTTCCTCATCACATCCCTGCATACGCTGATGATGTTGCTGAAGCATATATTTCGGGAGGAATATAGGAACATCAGAAATCTCTTAAATACTAGATATGACCTTTTTTTAAAGAATACACTGTAATTCAGGAATCTTTAGGAAGCTTGATTAAATATATCTTAGCATTTTTTTTCTTCAGATAAATGTATGCCCTCAGAATGAAACTCATGCTAAACTTCTATAACTTAATGTTAATGACTGAGAAATTCTCAACATCTATGGAATGGTGATGGCATTTGCTTTTCAAAAACAAGTCTGCAGAGGTTTGGGTAAAAGATTGGCAGGACGGAACTAGTAAATCAGTCTCGCTCATTTCATCCTTTGTGGCAATCCATCTCCAAATTTAATCAGCATTTAATTCAGAAGAGTAAGCAGTTGCTGAGCATTCCTTAGGATCAAGATTCTTCTTGCAGAAATGAATTACATGTTTCAAAGAGTAAGAAAACAAAAAAAAGTCTTTTTCTACTCAAAACTACTACATATGCTACGTTGGATAACTCTACTTCTCAAAAAGCCTACTAAAGAAAAATCTTCCCCCCCCCCCCCCCCATTCTACACATAGGATCACTCATTCTATATCAAATTTTAGTGACAAACTTTTCTGGCCCAGGCAGAAATCTGGGAATAAAAGAGAGCTCTTTGCCACACAAGCAGGCAGCCTGCAGGCCACCCACCTGTTGCAGATCTCCAGGCAGTGGGATTTCATATTACTTTTGAAGCAAAATACATCCGTAAGTGCATTGCTGGACCAGTGCCATGGTATTTAGCACCTTCCTGGATTGTGCTCTACGGTAAGAATACAACAATGGAATTATTATTCATATAGCACTCTGCATGTTCAAAGCACTGTAAAAATATTATTGATTTAATCTCTACAAATCCAGTGCATTAGTTCTCTGTATTCAGGATAGGTGTTACAAGTAACATGCATGCAAACAGGAAGATAAATGCCAGTTCTGACAAGCTTATTACTATTGCTGTATAATCACAAGGACTGAAATATTCAGCAGTATTTAATAATCAAACAGGCTGCTTTCATTATTTGAAGAACTTTTCCTGATGGCCACTGCAATCAATTGATATCTTTCTCGCGTCATCTTATTTTGGACTAGATCCTGAAAGAATGCTGCAATATCAAAAGCAAAACCGTCATCTGTTCATATCTAATGATTACGAACTAGATGTGAGAACTGAGACTTTTGCTTAGTATTAATTTTTAGCCCCCTTGTACATAAATCAGGAAGACTTAAAGGAAAGACTTATGAAGAGGAATAGGCACTGCAGTGTAAATAATGATTTGACAAACTTAGAAACTAAAAAGTCAAAATACAGAAGAAAACAAAGTTAGTCATTTAAAAAAACAAGCAAACAAATAAACAAAAAACCAAACACTCACAACAGGAACATCTCAGATTCCCTTAATGACTCTCTGCTCCCATCAGCACACCTGCAAGTTCTCATCATCATGATGAGGAAGTGTATTACTCTTTTGTGCAACATGGGATACTATTTTTCTGGATGTATGTGTACCTATACACAGATTAAAGAAGAGAATTATAAAGTTCGTAAAGTCATATAAGAAATATGGTACCTGAGGCTCTTTGCACAATCTCCCTTCAATCCTCTTGGGCATACATGTTAGGATGTAAGCACATAGCTGCATGCTTTCCACCTCCCTCCCCATAAACTGCACAAAGTCCTCCCATTCCCACAGCCATGCCCCTCCGGCATCAGCCTGCTGTTCATTTCCTTCCAACACTCGGCTCTTACCCTTTTTTTATTCAGTGCTAGTAGCTTCCTCCTCCACTTTTGAAGCGTAAGAAGGAAATAAAGCACTAGGCAAACAGAGAAAAGGAAAAGTTTGCCAGGAGCTTTTTGAGGGTTTTTTTTGGAGAGATACCTCCCCTATCTTCAGTCAGAAGTGGAACATAGAGGTTCAGTTATTGCCCGCTTTCAGTTGTTGACATTAGACAAGTCCATTAGTAGTCATGAACAGCAATTGCAGAAACAGTCTCTACTCTGCCTCAAACCTGAGTCTCTTCTATATGAAGATCGTTCTGGGGAAACTGATCTGTCAAGACTCAGAAAGCTTCCACCACTCGTGTAAGAACTGTGATTTTTTTTCCCCTAGATATTCAGAATGTAGATAAACATGTGAATTTTCATAGGGAGAAGATACAACCCTGACAACCGAACATAGCCTTTCAAAGCTCAAGGATAGCATATGTTTTCAAAGGAAAGATGTTCCAAATTTAACATGCCCAAAATGGCTGTATGACTTTTAATATCATTTTACTGTGATCACTATTACTGAAGTTAAGGGGGGGAGGGGGGAGTATTCACCTTAATACAGATACTAGGCATGTAAACTGTCTGTCCAACAATCAAACTCAGAGGCAACTGAAACCAATATTATAATAAGAAGCACTGGACAACTTAATGGTAGACAGAAGTACCAGCCCTATCCCAAATCCACCCAATTTCAGATATCCAAGAGAAACGCATAAATGAGAAGCCTAAAATAAGCCTATCTTGAGTTTCAAGGCTCTGTTGTCAGTGCAGAGACATCCAGGAAGCAACTCATACCACATTTGAAATGAGTCACAGTGCAGAAGGTCTAGTTCTTTCGACTGTTCAGGGAGCAAAGGCTCTAAACACGGACACTGCCTTTAGATAAACTGAATGTGGGCCATCCAGCAAATGTGCCCAAGCCAAAACACTTATCAGACTTCACAGAACAGTCATTTTGTCTTCTCTAGATATTTTTAAAGCTGCCTTACTGTAACACTACAGCAGGGAAAAAGCATGTTAGTTTGTCAGCCTTGCATATCTGTCTCACAGTAAAAGATTACAAATACCCCAGCTCCCATATAATTTCACTCGTGGATATAAAGATCAAAGACAGATGAACAGTCATGTAGACTACTAGAGGAACTAGTAGTACCAGGCATTTGGAAAGACTTTGTTGTGCTTACAATCCTCCACTCACTTCACCAGTTTGTTATGGTGTAGCCAAACAAATATTTACACTACTGTGTCTGCTCTAATAATTCCAGTACGTTACCTTTTTTCTTCTAAAAGAGAAACAGCCAGCAGAACACTGGAATTTCTTTAAATCTGTCAGAAGAAGAGCATGAGGATTTCCAGACACATCTTCCATAAGCTATATTACACAGTGTTGGAAAGGACCTTGTGATACCACATCACCACCATCAAGAAGCTGTTTGTAAAACTCCCAGAAAGTCCTGCTCTCCCTGTGACCGTTTCCATTTGTAGAAGCTGAATACACCTGCTTATTTGCACGCAACCACCAACACACGCTCCAAGTCTAAGCCTCAAGCTTCTCTGGTCATAGCTTAAAAAGTGGCGTCTTAAAAACTGGTGTCTGAAGAACTAACTGTTCCACAGTTCCTTCATTACAAACCCAGGCCTGCGCTCACACACACTTCACACAGGGTAGACAGGGTCTTCACATACATCCTCGTGTCTGGGAACATACAGATCTTTTATCTTCTAAAGCCCACTGCTTGTTTACCCTGTATACACAAGTGTGACAGCCTCCAAAACAGGAAGCAGAACAAAGAGCAGTTCGGGTTTTCAATCAACTCTCACCTAACTCTTAGATTGCCTGGCCAAGTAAGCGCTGGAGATGAGGTGATAGTGCAGACTCTTAATTTGCCTGACCCATGTTACAAGATTGTTTACAAAGAACATCTGCCTGCATGTAGCTAGATCACAGATATTCTATCAGTAGATGGCAGTCAAGAATAGTTAACTTTGTGGTTTGCTCATATCTAACAGCGCTCCATTTCTTTTAACTCCAAGAATTTTGCAAGTGCCTGATCATCTATGTACTTCTGGATGTGTCAATGAAACTACTACTAATACAGTGTGGACCTAGATGTTTACAAAGCAGCAGACGTCTTCTTTCTTGGACTCAGTTTTCATTAAATCATTGCTGGGCAATCTGTTCCTTTGCAGGTAGTCGGCATTGCTATACTAGAACAAATTATTTTAGCACATCAGTGTTCACAGACTCTACATACCTGGTGGATTCATACCTACAAATGGAGCTATCTCAGTGCATACGAAAGCCAGTGTGCAGCACTCTGATAAAACACTGAGATCATATAAATACAGACCTGTATAAAACTTAGGACATGCTTCTATGCTATGCTACTCATTGAACAGAAAAACATAACACATATAGAGAGAGAGGTGTATATTAACTTAAACAAGTGTCTGTGTAGGCATACATATACATGGATAAATATATAGCAAGCAACAAAATTTTGCTACTCCATGTAGTCAGTCAGACCATTTACACACTGTTTCAAACATGTTTGAATGTCAGAGCATTTCCAGGAGAGAATCATACAGCTAACTAGTAAACATAGCAGCTAGTATAAGCACTATGCTTAACAATATATAGAAAATATGTAGGGAATATAGTAGGACATACTTCAACCTTTAGAACTGATCCAGACCAATGCCTTTAACTTTTCACTGACAGCTGCAGAAGCCTGCCACATTACAGGCAGCTGTCAGTACTGTGCAGCCTCCAGCCTTGAGCTGCTTCATTTTTCTGGATTTAACTATGGTTTTACAACACCAGCATGCATCTTTTGAGGCTTAATAAGATACGCAGAATGATCAACAGAACAACTAACCATTTACTGAGAGATAGCAATACTCATTTAGTAAATGTCACAGGTAGCAGAACTGATAAAGCATTATAAAATATGCTATAATGATACGCCCTGGAACATTTGAAAAACAAGGTCCATGAGACAAGCCGGAGGTGCTTACTTACCAGATTAACACACAGTCATCATCACCAAAACCAGTGTTTAGAATGCGAGCGGATTTTGTTCCTTCTTAAATTCTTTTATATATTCTCAGAGCAAGCCTTTCCATGAACCCAGAAAAGGTTGGTATCAGGCCCTAAATTAAGCTGAAACCTCAAAAAGATTTGATAGGTGAGAAGGGAGATGCAAACCTCAGAATGTTACAAATTTAACTTGAGTTCTACCTCTCCAGGGAGATAGCCAATTTATCCATGCTCAATGGCATATTAGAGCTGACTTAAGTTTGCTCTTTACTTTCAAACAACTTTTACTTATTAGAGCTATCAAGTCTTGAAGGTATCAGACTATGAGGAAGTAGCCTTGCAACAGGGAATACTATTCTAGCTTTTAACTGCTGGATCTGTGCTCTTTTTTGACTGCAAGTCAATGGCTAGTTGTAGTAAGTTCTCTCTGCTGGAGAAAATGAGCGCAACCAAAAAGAAATATCGTATGAATAAAGAACCATCTCACCTCTTCTGAGACCTATGTTTTATCTTTGGTAACATTCTGCGTAAACCTCCCTCAAATTTCTTGTCTGCAACTTATTTGTTGGTAACTAGAATGTCTTTGCATGTACAGCTATAGTCAGTCACATGCATAACCGATCACCAACCCTGTAACTTCCTTACCAACCCTGTAATTGCAGGGAATTTTCACATGGTAAATCACATTTTTGCCATTTAGCTTTTAACTGTGGTAGCTTTTACTGGTGAGTAGGGTAAGGCAAGCAAGGTTTAGCCTCTGCAAAGCATACAACTTTAGAAGAACTGGAAGGACAACACTGAAAATGAAAGACACTGTGCACAGATTCAGTGTCGGCAGATTCTTATCTTGCTCATCATAATTTGAGAAGTAAAATGCTGCTGCAGATCCAGGGCATGTTAGTTCATTAAAAC